CCTCGGTGTATCTCGTGAGAGACCTGTTTGTCGGCGGGGGACTTTACGTAACGAAAAGATAACCGACGCCGTCGGCCGCGCAGATAACTAGGAATCCTGGGCCGGCACTTATGCAACGCGCGTGCGCACCTGACAGATCTCCCGGGCTCGCGACTCGCCAGATAACGCCGGCCGGAAGGGTCGTCGGATCGCGGTATCGAATCGATCGAATTTCATCGCGATGAATTGCGCGCCGGCCAGTTCGTAGACTCGATTTCCTGGAAGACCGACGCCATTTACTATGACCCGGGTTCACGATCGCAGGAGATAACGCGATGCGCGACTCGGCGTTCCGCGTGTTTCGCGTGTGCCACCGATGGTTCGATGGAAATTGCACGGAGCATGCTGGCGATTTGAAAGGTGAACGTTATGGTAATCTGCGGTCTTCTACGGAACGATGGAACGGAGTTATGCGGATGAACGAGGATACTGTTTCGCGATGTTCGATGCTTTAGATTTTGTTTTGGAGTCGGCTTTTAAGCTTGGCTTCGTGGTTTTTAGTCGGGATTTGGGGTTGTGGAGTAACGTTTGGAATTTCGTGGATTAATCTTTCAGATTGGGTTAGTGGAATTTGAGTTGCAAAAGCTGAGTTGACTGTATCAGATGTTGACTGATGGGTTTTCAGATTGGTAGGGAGATTGTGCTTCCGTTTCCTGTAGACTGTAATAAATGAGGTTTTAAATAACTCGAAGTCCGGTGTATTGAATCATTTTGCACTTTCGCTCATTCATGACGCACAGTTTTAGCAATTCTATGAACCGAGGTTGCAACACGATCGGCACCACCTTCGGCGCCACGAGTACTCACAATTCCCGGGATTTCCAATGTATTCTAACGATTTCGCGCACCGGAAGCTCGATCGCCGGCTCGTTGGAAAATTACTCACGACCGATTACGGGTAAAAGTTGTAGGCGACACGATTGGTTATCGTCGCGCGCTGGGTGGTTTGACACGAGATTAGATCTTTGTTTCCTGATAAATCGTAATTCAATTCTACACCGGCAGTAACTTGCGGTTTTGCTTAATCCGAAGGATTTCGTTCTGGTATCAGCTTTACGCGTTGGCTGTCGAGCCAGCAGCCATAAAAATTCCACGAAATTGAGATCATAGTTTTTATTGCGATACGAGAATTTATATGCCAATGTTTATCACGCTAATTATTTTATCGAACTCTCTTGAACAATGGGTACTCACCAAATTTATTTCAACATTTTACCATGTAAACTAATCTTTAAACCAAAATATTAATGTATTCAAAATAAAAGAATATAAAAAATTTTAATTTTGCAGAATGATCATCATTTCAACCCTTTACTCAACTCAATTTTCTCAAACTTCTCAATAGAAAGGAAAGATATCCTATCAACAAAACTTTCCCTATAAGAGATCGATCTTCTTACATCTGAAGGATCCAACGAATACTACTTCAGTCAATGCATCATGATAAAGCTGAATTTTTAAGCATAGACAATGGTTTGTGTCACCTATGCGTGATTAATGCAATAGTCAATGTGTTAAATGAGCCATGAATAGACGTATTACCACTCGAGATTGGAAAGGGCCCAAGTTTGACGGTCTCAAGGGCCACAGAGTGTTCAAGCATCGCCCACCAGGCGGCAGCAGACTCTTGACACCGCTATCGTTGGCCCAGGGAGGAGTGGGGGTCGATTTTGGGCCCCTCGTTGAGAGGTAGGACCAGGAAAGGGGACTACGGACCGGTTCGGCGCGAGCGAACCTTCGTGATCCTCCATGAGGTGGCAGCACCTCACCGTGAGTCGCTCCGCACCTTGGCTCAGTCTGCATTCCGAGCTGCAGCAGTACGGATGGGAGATCCAGCTCCCTTTCAAATGCCTTCTAATAGCAACGACTCCGATCTTTTCACTTTTAGAGTCGTAGAATTATTTCCCTGACCACCTATACCTTTAATATTTTTTAAATTCTCAAGTACTTTGTCTGTTCTATTTTAAGATACTTTGGAGTAATGAATATACTTTTTTTTTAAATATATTTAAGAATAATTTTCTTATGAACTTTGTTGAATGTTACTGAACGTCGAAATGTTTAAATATCTTTTTGGGGATTTTGTAGAAGGTAATTTTGTGATAGTAAGAGTAAGCGAAAATGAAACTTATTTACTTTGAAGAATGAATAGAATTTTCAATCGGAGTTTGAAATTGATGGATAAATTCAGTTGTATGTTGAAAGATAGAACATTCGAATTAGACTCCAAGATTCCGTGTAGAAATGGAAAGTGAATGTAATGAACTTATACTAGCTGTCATCGGTGTGGATAAGGGTGGATGATCGAATGAGTAACACCATAAATAAGTTTAAAGAAAGAGATCAATATTTATTTGATGCTCTTGCAGTGATAAGCGTCGATCTTTTCTATTCTCACAATAGAGAGGAATTATAAATTTAATTTCTCTGCACTCATATAAATATAAATAGGACAACTGTTCCGCACACTCCGCACACATTCACGCGCTCATTCTCTCTGTCTCTCTCTCTCTCTCTCTCGCACGCACTCGCACGCACGCACGCACGCACGCTCACTTAACTAATCCTACAAACTAAGAGTCCGCGTTAGTTAGAAAGAGAGAAAGTAAAAGAGAAAAAAAAAATGGAGAAAGAAATAAAACAAAAGTCGAAACTGATTCCTCGTACTTTTGCAAAATACAATAACACTCGCTTGGCGTTTTTTTCCTTCTACGTACAAGAAAACAGAATGGAAGACCTCGGTGATTCTTGTTGCGTAAGGCACTTAAAATACGATACTCTTCTAAAACGTATGTACAAGGCGACAAAAGTTGGGACAGAATGCAAAAACTCGGGATGGTTTAAGGGGACGGGGACCGCGCGCGAAACAAAATCGAAACGTCTAAAGAATAACGCGAACCAAGCCCACGCGACTCGACATCGAACGAAAAAAATCTTCTCCGTTTTTTACATTCTCCCGGATTCTCCAACGTTACGATAGAACTATTTACAAGGCACTGTATAAGGCACTGCCTCATAGGCTACTGGCCGACGTGTACGCACTCGGTGTACTCGATAAAACTCGCGTTTCAACTCGGTCTCCTAGCTGGCAGGACACCGTTCACCCCCCTAAAGAACAACGCGATACTAACGATACGATAAGGAACAATATCCGTGTCCGTAATGTATTATCTCTTTCCCGGTGCTGAACGACCGATCCACGTGTCTTCAGTCAGTACATGTACATGCATATATAATATACGTACATATATTATATATCACTCGAGACTGTCTCTATCTATCTACCTCCCAATCTGTCTTAAGTATACTTCACAACCCCACGATTGTTTACCACGGTCTCCATGGTTTGTCTTCGACCTCCGGTACAACGCTCTTCCTCATCACCAGGGCGAGGGGTTTCTGGAGCGGTGGGCTGTAGACCCGCGGGTCGAACTCGGGGTCACTGGTGTAGCCGTTCGCGGGCGAGGTCGCGACGTCCCTGTGGCTGTTGCCGGTGTTGAACGCGGCGGACTGTTCGCGGAAGTTCGCCGGTGGTCCCTCGAAAGCGACAGGACTCGCCGCTGATGTGGACGTCGAGCTGGCGGAGGATGTCGACGACGAGGCGGACGCCGTGCTTGCCGTTCTCTGAGGAATTGGGATCAGAGTAGGCAGAGGCGAGGGTGGCGCGGGCGAGGAAGCTGGCGACGTCACCGGCGTTGCCTTCGCTCCCGCTGGCAGGACTAGCGCGATGTCTCCGTTGGGCAGCCTGGTGGGCACCAATTGTAGACCGGTGCCGTTCGCGTTGGTGAAGAAGATTCCGTTCGATTGTTGGACCTGGATCCTTGGGGTAGCGTCCACTTGGGGCAGGATGTGGACCTGGAGCTGCGTGGTCGGTGGCGCCGGTTGGACAGGCTGTTGGCTGGCGGTCTGCGCGTTGGCGTTGCTCGCTTCGACCGGTCCAAGGCAGGAGGCCAAGTGGGCCATCAAACGCCTCTTCACCGACGCGTCCAGACCGGGAAACCTGCCAACCTCGCCGGCGCATTCCGTGAATCCAGCCCGGAATTTGTTCAAGACGTTCGGGTCGGTCGCCGCGGCCAGGGCAACCTGTTGACGCTGGAGCGTCTCCAGGTGCTTCACCGTCATCTCCAGGATGTCCGCCTTCTCCAGCTTAGAGTGTCGTGCTGGCTGTAGTCAGAAAGAATCGGTCGGTTATATAAGGGCTCGGAACATTTGGCGAAGTCGCGATTAAACGTCTCGGGGGGATGAACTCGAAGTTTATAAAGTAGAAGGTGTCATTACAAGGGATCTTGAAAGCGTGACGTTCGCGGAGTAGAACAGATAAGACACTTACGTCTTTCTTCATTGCGTCCAGGATGAGAGTCTTCAGGTCGTTTAGGCAGTTGTTGATGCGGGCTCGCCGCCGTTTCTCCATAATCGGTTTATTGCTCTGTAACAGAAAGGAACCGGCAGGTCAGTCTTTGCTGCTCAACTACTCCAATTGGGGGTAGTTCGGGGGACTTTAACAGCGGTCTTAGAACCCGGGCTGAGACAACAGGGCAAAGCTAAGCACACTGTTCTGTTGCCGTTCAATGAATCGGAAAAGGGAGCCCCATTGAAATCGGTCGAGGCCTATCTTCGCTACGTTTTCATCGACAGTTTTGGATTATCCCCTAACAACCACCCCTGTATTCAAATGCAACGAACGCTTTTACTCGACACCCGTAATTTCAAATTTCTTTCGAGAACACTATTTGCCCCTGTCTCGAATCTTAGACGATCCAAGACATCTGACAGATTTCGATATCGTGACAACGTATGAGGGTATTCTCGAGGAAGAATCTGACGCATCCGTGAATGACACTAACCCGTCGATTCTCTCCGGATCTCCTGGTGGTGGTGGTCGTGGTGGTGGTTTGCGTAGGGGGCTGACCAGCCTCCTGGGGCACGTGTTGCGCCGGTGGCGTAGCGCCGACGGTGACACCGCCGGTCGGCATCGTGGCACCCACCCCGGTCACCATGTCGTATCACAAAATAAGTCAAGCGAAAGAGTAGTCACGACAAATTGCTGGCACAATTTGCCGCAGCACTGCACTGGTAATCCAAGATCGCCGCGTGTACGCACTCGACACGTCGGAACAGGGCCGTGGGCCACACGAGGGTGTAATCCAAAAATCGTGGACCGCGGCCGGTGGAGCAAAGATCAAAGGAATTAGGACTGATCCCGAGAACTCGGCTGTACGAAGTGGAGCAGCAAGCAAGGCTCGAACTTCTCGGCTCGTCCCCTATAGTCTTATGTATCGGCTCGATGACTGAACTCACTGAACTCCGACCGCTCGGTACAGGCGTCAGAGCACGACTGACCGAACGAACGACGAACGTCTTCTGTCGTCTCGTCGAAGCGTGCCACCCGATGGAATGCCCGGTGGAGGCGCTGCCACTAGAACGGTGGGGGAAAACCTCGACAGACCGACTGGAGGGGATAGCGCGTGACGGTTTAACCTGGGCTTCCCTCCACCACCCGAATTCCGACGGTCGGACGGCACCCGGTTGCCTTTAAGAGCCCCCACCTCGAAACCCGGCCCCTCTACCCCTACGCCGGGTTCCGAACCGACGACCGTGGCGGGTTGCCTCGCGCGGACCCCCACTACGCGACCGCCGAACTACGATCGATCGGATTTTTCTGCACTGTCATCGGGAGATTTTTTGGAAAAAATACCCTTTTGCTGGCTTCCGATACCCTCTAACTCCCGAGCAGCAGGGCATACCTGGAGTCACGCGTTCAACATTCTTTCTTAACAAACGAAGTGTAATTAATCGTTTGAGATTCAGTTTTAGAGGACGTCCTTTAGTTTCGACGACGAGGTTTTTGGAAATTTGAATCTCGAGAAATGCAACGAGACCGCAGACTTAGATAAAGAGGACTCGTAATCGCATAGGAGCGACGGCAGACAAAGAACAATAGCGCGCAGCGTTACCCGCGAGCGGCGATTAGTCTCGTGACGCGTATCGCGCGTCGAAAGGTCATTAGAACCGGCTGGCCGGTCCGCGGCGCGATCGAGTGGAGTGGTAATGGTAATTTCTAGACGGACACGCACGTATGCCCCGACTACGAACGTCATCGGGGCTTATATTACGTTCTTCGAAAATAGCCGAGTGCCACCGTGTGTCGAGTGCGGACTGACGCACGCGCGCACCACTGGCACGTGCCTCCTACTCCCTCCCCACGTCTTTCGAAATTACTCTTTCTACTTGTGCGACCGATTATACGCACGCCGCGGCATTTATCTCTCGCGTACGTGCACGTACGCGAGCCACGGAACGCTGATACGTATATTCTCGCGCGCCACGGGTAAATTGATAGGCGATCCCGATCGATCTAGGGCTCCTGGCTGGAAGCTTATCGGGCACTCGTGTTCTGTGATTGCAGCTAATAGGACACTAGTCAGCTCAGAGTCTACTGCAGCGTATAATTTCATAGAAACTCCATCGAGCTACCGAACGCATTTAAAAATTTCAAAATCCCAGTGTGCATCTCATGAAAACCAGTGCTTCGATGAAACTGAAAAATCTAGACGATCGAACCGCTAAACACATTTCGGGCCACCAGGGGTTGACAACTCGAGGATTCAACGGTAGCGAAGCTAAATAGCCCTTAGCTAACATCGGGCCTATCTCGGGCACCCTTCCTTCCCAAGGAACATCGCATCGCAATTTCCCAAGTCACCCAGCTCCCGTCCCATTTCCTGCCTGCCAGCGCTAAGTACTTCCGAAAAACGTCTGTCATACCCGGAACCAGCTCCCACGGCGACTTCGCTATCAGCGGTCGTCTGAGAGCACAGACGTGTCAAAGTCTCGCGGAAAGATAATCGGTGGGTGCCGCGTCGACGGTACCGGCGCCGAGCGAAGCCAGCCAAGCATTCAGCCGCCGAACCTCGGCCGCTTGGCAAAAGGGTAGGAAAACGAGCTGGCGGCGAGCGTGAGCCGGCCGGAGTGGGGAGAGAAGCAAGCCCAGGAGTTCGTAGAAGCGCGGTAGGTGCGACGAGGATATCAGCTGGCTGATCGTGCTCGTGTCGTCGCGAGCGAGATAGGGGAAGGGAAAAAAAGGTTGTGCGGACGTCGGCAGGATAAAGAGGATCGGAAGCGAGGATGGCAAAGGTGGAGGGAGACGGAGCGAGATCCTGAAGAGAGGAGAAGCGAGCGCCGAGTGCGACGCGGCCGGACTGCAAGCGAAAACGAGACGAGAGATCGGCGGCCGCCAATCACGTGACCGGGAACCGATGCGGCGTACGACGATCGCGCTTCCATTGGCCGGCTCTCTCCCCCACCACCGAATCGGCCTGAGGACGAGCGTGCCGCGCGCGACGGTTGCGTGGGTGGTGGGGGCGCGATCGTCATTCGACTTTGAGCGGTCGAGCGGCGCGGCGGCGTCGCGGCGCGTCGGTCGCGGCCCTCCGGGGCCACTCGATCCGAAGGAATGCGTGGGGGAGAAAAAGCGTGCGGCGTGACGGGGAGGCGGATACCTGTGACCTCCCCGGGAGAATGCGTTTCGAGTGCATCGGGGCTCGTGGAAAATTGGGTGCAGGCCGTAAGTGCATCGACTGCTCCCCCTTCGGCGGGGATCGAGGGTACGCTTAGGCCGCGCCGCGTATATTGAGAATGTAATTGGAGTACACTAGACGGCTCGCGGGAGTTCAGTCGCGCTTCCAGCGCGCCGAGCGCGGGACGTGGAACTGTTCGCTCCGTGGAGATGAGTTCGATGAGGATGTGGGATGCACTTGACGATTTAGGGAAGTGTGCAGGATTTTTTGTTGGCTCGTTCTCGATTGGGCAGGGAATTTAGAGGGACGGAGGAATTTTGATCTCGTAGAAATGAACTTGGAGATTTGTTTCATTGTTGGCAATTGTTTTTGAGGATGATTGTATTGCGATTTTAGTTGAGTTTTGTTGTCGGTTGTAGTTGGTTGTATTTGGATGGAGATTCTTTTGATTGTTTGCGTGTTGGGAGATAATGATTGGATTTTTAGGTAACCATGGGAACGTCGGTTTTTATGTAATGTCTTTTTGCAGCCTGGTTGATTGTATTTGATAGAGAACTTGGGAAACCGAGGTGTCTGATTTATAGCTGACTTTACTACTTAGCATATCTAATCACTATGTTGCAGATTGTAATTAGAATTCATATCGCGATAGATTCTTTTGGGAAACCATCAGATATCTTTGTTGCAGCTTGCTTTCGATGAAAAGTAGATCGGAATTGTTTTTATAGAAAATACAAGGAATGTAATTGTGTTTTATAGATTAACACTCTAGAGTTACTTTAGATTTCGTTAGTGTTTTAATATTTGTAAATGTATTGCGTTCTTTCATATTAATTAGATAGACGTTTGTACATTCCTTGCAAAAATGAAATAGATTATTATGACCTTAAAGTTAAAGGTCTTATCGATCACATTGTTAAATGCAGTTATGTGCAATATCGAGAGTGCATTCGTCATTACACTTCGAGAAACTATCTAGGTATAATTCAGAAAATTTGACGATTCTCGAATAGCGAGTTGCATAATGTTATATTTAAAAACATTGCAAACTCATTTCTGAAAATATTATAACGAAGGATACAATTGTACAATTATTATTCACTGCTGTTCAAGTATTGATAGTCAGTAAATTCAAGCGACAGTGTGCACCGATAGTGTGCTTCCATCTGACGGTGGTCGCTGTAAGTTTTTCCCTGCTTCCGATACGTTCAATCTTTCGAACCGCGTCGGAAAACAGAATTCCTCAATTTATTTATCGAATCAATTTAATATCGAAACACTATTCATTCAGTTTCTTTTCCTTTAAATCACATTTTTCACCCAATAACATATATAAAAATATCTTAACCTGAATATTCACAGTGTTATTCTAGAAAAATCATAATTTCAATTATTCCATTCGCAGATTTAAATATCGTCTAATCGGTCACGCAAAATTATCGCGTATTTCTCACGTGTTTCTTCGAGTGAACTTTTAATAGTTTCCCGGTGTCTATGAGTCACGCAAATACGTCTAGACAGTCTACAGATAAGGATCGAAATACTTTTATGGTACACACGGTGGTTGTTAATCTCGCAATAAATTCTGCGAGCGTAACATTGAAATTTACCTCTGCGAAAAAATTATAATAACAACTTCTCACTATTCTACGTGTAGTGCGAGTTAAAATGAAAAAGATTGACATTCGAAAATCACTGAGTAACTCTTAGCACGAGAAATAGATTTCTCGAAGGTGTTTGAAAAATTATAATTCAATGTCACGGCGATTAACAAAGATTAATTCCACGTTCGCAGATTATCCATGCAAGTAATGGTTAACAGTTATTCACTGAATAATTTTTCGGTCAAGGAACCTCGGTCATCTTTATCACTCCTTTTCACCTTCGATAAAAACCACGTACCGGATTCACGTGCTTTGTTCCGCGCTCGAATTCGACTATCGCTGCCTTGAATCACCCACTGAGCCGACAGATCACGTGTTTAAGACACTCGACTGTTCTGATAAAATAGATTACACCGCGATATCCATCGGAGCCACTTTAATTCGACGCCATTCCCGTTCTAAGAACACATTTCTCTCGTCGTTGCCTCAGCGTACTTAACGCTGCCACTTCTCGTAAGTCATTCACAGAAAAATGTTAACAATGACGGAGATCGATATTTTCTTTGTAGCGCTTTGCATAGCCGCTTCTGAGCGCATTCAATTGAAATGACGGGCTGATTTCAATCGTGATATTCTGTGCACGTATCTTTCGCAGTCATAATAGAAGTACAACTTGTATATTGAAAATTGGTGAATAGTTTAATAGATGATTTCATTGAATACATCAGTTTCTTGATGTACGTATATTTGTCAAAGGAAAGAGTGTATCCAAATTGAAGAAATGCGTCTAGGAGAATAATGTGGTTCGTTTGTATAATTACACAAACGAATCAACAATTCCAGTAGAATTCCACGCGAGACAGATACAGGTGTCCCATAACGGCACTATAAAAATCAAAGAAACACCGAACCCGCCGAACGAAAACCTGGTTAGAATACAAAGGCGCAAAAATTTCACAATAAATACCGACTTCCCCAACGCATTTTAATCGCTTGATTATTCAAACGACGTGTCACCTGACCAGTTCTTATAATCAGGGTTCCACTTTAGCTGGAAATACTCGCCCCATAACGCTTTGTTTACGTCCCAAAAAGATCATCAAAGAGAAGACAGGGATTCAATTAACACTAATGTAACTCATATACTATTCTATAAGCATCATTGGGCGAATGTCTATAACGATTTTAATCGATCCAATTACACGAACATATATCTTGATTATCTATTTTTATACCATCGATTCCCTGATTACTTCGCTAAACAAAGAACCGCATGTTCGAATGCAGCCGACACGATGAATTTCCACG